TCTAATATTACCATTTATTGCGTGAATCGGGTTATTTAACTGGTATTTGACATTGATTTTTAGAGTTTTAAAAGTGTTTGAAACGCAACGAAATTATGCATACTTATAAATGTTGTTAGTTGGATAAATAGAATTATTTTTGTCGTCAACATTTTTGCCTTCGTAAGAGTCAAACAAATTTCGTGGTAGGGAGAACAACGGTACACTATGAAAAGCGAATTAATATGCACTTTTTTCTTGTTAAATGAGGTTATCATTATAATAAATGTTGTTATAAAGAGCTTCCATTGTACGTGCATCCGCGTAATAACGGCATTTTATTCTTTACCGGAAAAAGGAACAGAAACCATCCATTGTATTTAATTATCTTTTGTCATTAAACTACACTTAGGGAAGTGATAGTGCAACAGTGTTCATACATTAATTCTATTCAGCAGTAATCGATAAAGTCGTCATAGTACTAAGAATATTACCTTCTGTTACGACCCTCACCTTATTGACATACATTAATATCGATTTAGACTACAAGAGATCATGTTATAGTGGTCAATATACACACGATGCAAATAACATTTTTATAACCTTATTCGTCAAGTAAAATGACTAAATAATACTTCTTTAGGTACTATTATAATATTAATGCGAATGTTTAAATGTATGTATGGATGAATATTCAATAAGGTCGAATAAGAATAGAAGATAGAATAAGAATACAAAGGGCTCTATTTAAGGGTTTTTTATATATTTTCTTTAGAAATTAAATAGCAAGTTGTAATTTTTTATGTGAAAATTCGAAATATTCTCTTACAACATCTGGCAAGCGTTAAATGGATGAAAGGTAGTCTTATACGCTTTATGAGTACCTAATTGGCGTTATTATACTTGTTCTGATGTAACATTATTGTGTATTCAGTGACACCTTGACATGGTAATACGAATCCGTGCCTCAATAACATGATGGAATGTTACACTGAATAGCGATATGCAACAATGCACTATTTCTAATAATTTATATTTCAAAAGTTTTAAACGAACCAAACTACTTATATGTTACTTAATAATAGTAATATTTAAAAATACTTATCACAAATTAATAATAATTAAAGCGTAATCTATTTGTTATAAAACAATTATCGATTTAAGAATTTTCTTAGTTTAATGAAATGTGGTTTACAAACTAATAAAAAAACGTAATGTCTTGTGACGTTCGTCTTATGAAATGCGGATATTACGTGGTTCTTATAACTACCTATAGATATTTTCTGATTAATTCAAAAAAATAAAACAGAAAAAAAATGATTTTTATCATTATAAAATAACTACGGATGACATTTGACATTTTTAAAACATTAACTGCCACACTTAAAACGGTATAATTGATTTGTTTGGATTTCTGTCAGTAAATCGACACTAAGGACTTCATTAGCGACCATTTAATGAGCCTGCGTCAGTAACTGCTGCGCGTAAGATTTTAAAACCATTCTCACAATGAAATTTGTATATATAATCTCTTGAAGATATTTGGTCAAGGACGGTTGAGTGAAAAATAAACGTACAGGATTAGAAAATCTAGAGAGTTAGAGACCATGTCAGCATCAGTCTTGTACTAAGTTTAGGTTACATCAACTGTTAAGTGGCTTATTATTAAATATGTAAATACGATATAAAGCTAACGCGAAGGTGTGTGTGTGTGGGAAATGTTGGTAGTCCTTGACCTACTCACTGTACAGGTGGAATTGGTGTCCCACGAATAACAATCGCCGTTTCTATCCAAAATTACTCTTTGCCAACATTTGGCGCACAAGCTTTCTGCGGAAACCTGTTTTCCACCGGTTTTCTGTTACTTTTTGCTTAAATGTCAACTCTGCATTTTTAACAAGCCTATAAATGAGTCTTTATTAGATGATTATGCATGGACGAAACAAAACCTGATATCGTTGGGTAATTTCGATAACGCTATGTCCTGTTACATTCTATAACCTTATGTTTTTGATATTTTTCCATTTAGCTACAACAATCGACTATTTGGTATTTCACGATTGCGAATACACATTCTGCAGCGCGATAATGCGATCATTACATTACATTTGTTCATTCCTTCAGATAAAAATAGACCGTGAGATAAAACGAAAAATGTTTTCGTAACACAACTTCATTGCACTCGTTTGCTAATACTTAATTATACTATGAGGCATTTTTATTAATCAGTGGATAAAAAAATGCAGAGAGAAATATATCGCAGACGAAGGAAATGAGTTAAGATCTACTCAATATATTTACTTCTAAAAGTGGTCGTGGGTAATGGTCATTGTAGAACACACCATATCACCACTTACAATCAGGTGGGTTTGTGCCAATGTAGCAGTTTATTCGTTATAAAAAATAGTGGTTGTCTATAACAAGCTACACAGGGAAAGGACATAGGGAAGAACTGCTTAAAAAAATTATATTATGTACATATCGATTTAGAATATATACTTATAATTATGTCAGCAGTATTTTTATAACTTGCCAAATGGCAAGTTATTTGGCAAGTTATTTTAGGTTTCTAATAGCTTAAAGTTCATTGTTTAATTACACAGCTATTGCGTGTTTTGTGTTGTGTAATACATTGTTTGTGATGTTAGGTGTATAGAAGGTCATCCCTCCTTATAAGTTATGAGATACAGAAATGTATATAATCAATTTCTATTGTTAACTGTGACCTCAATTTTCATATGTTACTAACATTTACTTGACATTATCTTGTAGGCGCTCGGTGTACTTTAAAGCTTCATGTCGTAGTATCATTTGGGAACAATTAGATGTTTGTGCTTTGAAATTCACTAGACAAATATAACCAAACTATGAATTGGCGCATATAAGTTCATGTATTCTGACTCTAACCACAATATTATTATGTATGAAACCACAATACTTACATAAACATCTGTTACAAAAGCTTTACGTAAGATTATTTAAGGATGTCCTGGCTCTTAAAGAGCGTGCATCCGCTTCACATATTTATGTGAATTTGTTGTGATATTTTCTTATTTTTACAGTTAATAATTATTTTGTTGGATTCTTCCATTTAAAACAAATCAAATTTATTATTTATTTATTGATTTATGTCATTAAAATTATGCTTTAATTTTTTAAATATGACATTAAATGCTTAAAAGATTGTGTTATTTCGAACCTTGGATCTGTTTCCGGTTGACGCATATTTAATGACGTATCGGAAGTCAGAAGTATCTACTATCTTTTACTACTATCTTATAATGACGGAATTTTATCTTATTAAACTTATTCGTTTATTCAAGAGTTAAAAAATCTTAAAACTTTATTTTCTTAAATTAAAGCATTTCGTGCGCAGATTTGAGATCTAAGGCCAAAATCTTCGTGATTTGTGAAGATGTACACATATATATATATAATTTGTAATAAAATAATTTCCTTACTAGTTGGTCGAGTTAGTGCGCCACGTGTACTGTTTGGTTGAATAGCCGGGTTGTCGAACCCCGGTGTAATCGAGTCACGCAAATCGGAGTTACGACATGAACGAACCATCGTCTGGGGACATTAGTCGTGGAGATGACGATGTTACGATATAATGTCGCTGTCTGATGATTGCTGCTCTGCTTTAACTTCGGCTACAATTTAAATGAATATAATTTTGTTTTGTTGCAATGCCAGAGTGCAGTTTAAAGTAACTTGTATACAAAATATGTTTCATGCGTTGTATTAAACTTGGTTATTTCCATGCATTCGTTTTAGTAGATATCAGTTATTTTCACATTGCCTTTTTTGTAACCGGTTGACATACAGCGCTAACTTTGATATAACTTAAGGTCACTTGGAAGAACTAAGACATAACTAGTCTAATTAGATCTTCACGCTCACCTAGCCTTGTTCTCTGTGCGACCTTACATCTAGTGAAATTGAACTATTACGATAGTTAGTAGAATTGAGTTTATGTTATTCAATTGCAGAGTTCATTTTCCCTAAACACAATACTTCTACATACTTGTCCTGAACAAAACCTAACGTGTGAGTTAAAAATATCAATCCAAACCTATCGTGTGTGGCATGCTTTAGCGATGGTAGCATCGTATTTTGGTTACGTAGCAACGAGCGTCCGTACCTAACAACCCCCGACTGATTTCCGCGTCTCATGGCAACATACGCAAGAAATATCCAGGAAGTCTTCCGACTTCATTAAATGGATTCATTTCTTATGCGATATTAAATTTATGTTTTCTTTACATACTAAAGTTTAATGATTGGAATACGTTTACAGGAAAAAAACTATTATAATATAAGTAAATTTTTTATAAAATTATGTTAATGGTAAAAGTTTCAGATATATGTAAGTAACGCTAGGATTATCTTTATAGTAAAGTACAAAAATTGACAACGAAGATATTTTATTACGGTATTGGTCGTTGTCCTTGTCAAAGTATTCCTTCTACTACATCGTGGACGCATAGAAATGAACGAAAATATATTCATTAAGCGAAAGTGATCGTACTGCTCTATCGACTTACACTTTCGTTGTGTTTGTGCACGTCATTTACAGCCACGATCTGACTAGCTTCCTACAACACACTACTATGTTATAATTTCTTACACTTTTCTTATTGCAAATCTCCTTATTAAAAACATACTTTGCAGTCATCGGTGTCTGTAATTTAGAAAATCAAAGTAGCCTACAAATTTAAATACCTAAAAACCATTTAAAAGTAGGTATAGAGTAAGAGTAAAATGGTTAAATATCTTTCTATGAGTTTGCTATTAACTTGCGCAAAAAGATATCACTAACAAACAAAACATTCCCATAGATGAGTCATCACTTTTTGCTTTGAGTAACAATGAGCACGCTCACCGTTCTTACGCCCCAATGCAACAGTCAGATGTCGTCTAGATGACTCATTGGGTACTGACACGTACTATATCGTAGGTAAATGTCATACTAAATGAAGTACAAAAATACATATATAACAAAGATATCTTTGTTTCAGGTTTATTTTCCTCTGCATCTACACGGTATGTGCGGATGTAGATATCATCACGGAACCGCGACCAGGGGAAGAATATGTATTAGTTAGTTCTGGCCAACAGACACCTTTGCGAAATTTTGAAACATCACACAAAATACCCGAGAAACACCCACACCATCGGATTTTAAAACAAGATGAAAACAATGATAAAATTATTAAGAAATTACACAGCGGTAAAATTAAACATCCGACGGAAGGTATCGTAGCCATTGAAGAGGACAAAAAGGCCTTATTTAAAAAGGGTCAAAAGATTAAGGCTTCCGAATCGATAGAAGTCGATATTCCTGTCTCGAAATTAGAGGATATAAAAATAAAGGAGAGCGCAAAGAATGTAGAAACAAATCCAAACTTGGCAGTCGCTTTAGAAGCAATGTCTGAATCCGGTAAACTAAGTAACAAGGCTAGCACGACTACTCAAAAACCAGTTCTAACGACAGAAGCAATTGGCACTACTAAGGCCTACGACTACATTCCTATCAATTTCGATACCATAGACGATATTAACAGTGGTTTACTATCTTCTAACATTAAACTTGAAACGGCTGGCACCGAACAAAAACAACACTCTAGGATTCAAATTAAGAAAGGTCCTAATGGACAAGATTATGAATACGAATATATTTACTATTATTACGACGAAGAAGAAGATAATAGTAAGAAAGAACTTAAAGAAAAACCAACAACTACTACTGAAAAGATACCTGAACCCGTAGTAAACTCGCATGATGGGCCAGCAAAAGAAGAATCTGAAAATCAAATAAACAAAGAAAGCAAAAGAAGTAAATATAGTACTATTGATAGATCAAGTGCAACTACAGCGGCTACAGTAGAGGTACAAAATGAAGTTTTACCAGCTGCAACCAGAGGCCGTTCTCGTGGTCGCACAAACTTTGCTACCGTACCAGTAGAGGAAGAAATTGAAGATGAAAGGTATTTTTCATTACTTAGTAAATTTGAGATTTTTTTTAATATTCATAAAGTTTGGGATTTTATAATTACTTTTTCTTAAATAGGCTTCCATCCAGTACTCGCTTCCCGCCTCGTGGTCGTAACCTGGGTGGTTCGGCATCCACTACAACCCATATTCCGGAAGCAACGTCGGAAATCACGAGACAACGAGGTCGCCCACAAAGTGACAGCGTCGCCGACGAATCGATTGGACAAACTAGAAGTAGAGCACGTGCCCATATCAGGTACAGTTATTGTGCAATGTTATCTTATATCTATTTGTTTTCCTTGATATTTATTTCTTTAACATTTCTTTCAGACGCCCAAGCTCTGAACTTGTAGATCTCGATAGCTTCAAGACTCATTCAGGAGACATTCCTTCTCAATACAAAGAACCTCCAACGAGATATTCTTCTGAAAGTAAACCTGAGTCAGAAGTTTCTGAAGAAGAATCAGTTCCTAGTGAACCTTCACATGCCAAAGACACTGTCAGAGAGGGACACAGCCTCAGCGGAAATATAAGATTCCAAGAGATTACAGATGAATCGAAATTACCTACAGATTATAAGCAAACTACCACATATGAACAGGATACAACCGAGTACACGACAATGACCGCAATGGAGAAGGTTGCCCTCGACCTTTACGCATATTTAGCTGGAGAAAACTTGAATAACGAAATAAGTTCTACTAATGATGTACTATCATTCGATGGATCGACCACTGTAGGAGATGATGGTTGGACAACGGAAGTCATGAGTACTACAGAAGAGGACACTACTACTAGCACTACTACCACGACTACCACCACTACCACGACAACAACAACCCCAGCCCCAACAACTACAACTACCACAACCGCTGCACCAGCAACTCGCCCATCGAGGTTTAAGGGTCGTCCAGGAGCTCGTGGCCGCGCCTCCATCTCGACAAGCCTTGCCACAGAGGCGCCACAGGAAACCTCTACGAGAGCAAGAGGTAAATTTAAAATTTCAGGATAAATTTTATAACTTGTGACAATAGAAATGAACAAACTGTCATGCATTACCAGAAAGTTATACAGATATGCTACTTCATTTAAATCTATTAATTCAAGAAAAAACTTGAAGACGATCACAAATTATAAGATTTCATTTCATTTTTCAAATCCTGTTTACACATAGGCTGTGAAGAGAAAGTTGTCGTCACATAAGCTACAAAACAGGCTCTTCTCACGGCCATTTTACTAGCTAAGCTTTCAATAATTATCTCGATGACTTTTATCTATATTTAGTATGTACGATATATAAAGTGTGCGCGAAAGCGAAATACCAATTATTCTTACATTGCTTTGCGATTGTGTTATGCATTGTTATGAAATAGTAAATTACAGCAATTTATTACATTCTAACACTTGACCACGGCTTGTTGTTAGTTTCTTTTTTTGACGTGACATCTATATTATTTATTTTTGAATAATAAAAAAATGTATTGTAACTTTTACCATTTCTTTATAGACATCTATAATATAGTACTTATCGAAATTAATAACTTCTACATAACTAGCCTTAACCTCAAATATGAAATGTGTTGTAGCGTCTTAAAATCACATGTTTCGTTGCTATATACAAGTGTTTCCCTACAGGTCGATTTGGTAAACCAAATGGTGGAAGAAAAACCACAGCGGCTTCACCTTCTACGGCCGCAGAAACTGCCTCAGCCGCACCCGTAGACAAGCCCGCAGCCCAACCTAAGGTCCGCATCTAATATTTTTTATTTCTATATATTATTTAGCGAATGTCATGCAATATCCTATGCATCAGCGATTGTTTGCAATGCGAATTACCATTCTTTTTAAACTGTATGTTGTAACCAACGCATATCAATTACATCATCAATAAACGAGTATTGTGAAATTATATTTACACATTCAATATAAACTTAAAAAAACACTATGAAGTGATGAATGTTGATTTATTTACAGCCTTAACATCCAAGTATAATATCTTAGTTATAAGTATTTGTAGTAGTTGACACCCGCTTAAATGCTAAACCTTATTTTCTAATTGCATTTCTACGCTTTCATATATAAAATAACAAAAAAAATTACTAATTTACAAACAGCTTACTAAAATATCTTTATTGCTCTAAAAGGCATACTAAAATTTTTCCGATAAGTATATTATATAAAGACGATTCTGTTATCTTACTGTTATAAATGCGAATGTTTAGATGGATGGATGTTTGTTTGAAGGTATCTCCAGAACGGCTAACCGGATCTCGCTGAAATTTGGCATCCATATAGTTCATAGTCTGGAAGAACACATAGGCTTAATAAAGTTTTTTTTAATTCAGCGAGGACGGAGTCGCGGGTGACAGCTTTTTGTTATAAACGGATTTATTTCACTATGAAGTTATTATGTTAAGTAACCTTTTTAGTGTCTTACAAGATTATTGTCCTCAACATTTTAACACTCATAATCTACAGATGTTTAAGTTGCCACTTATATAGCCTATACTTATACTAATTACATGTTCAGCTTAGATAAAAAACCATTACTTAAAGACGGAAAGTGTTAAGAAGAGAGAGTAATGTTTTACAAGTATGGTAATTAAATTAATGTTGTAGAAATGTGATCTTTAAAAACATGTTAGGCGTGACTTTGAATAACATCCGTAAAAGTGTAATTGCAAAAAAAGTCTTTAAAACCTTGTTTAAAAAAACTTTTAAATATTAAAAAAATTAATTGTGGTACTTGTCGTTTTGCATTTAAAAATGGCTATATTTTTAATACAAATGTTTCGCCTGTTTGTTTAACAGTAAACGAATTGATAAAAAAAGACGATATTATTAATCTTATAACTGCAAAAGTTTCGAAGAATGGATAGATAGATGTTTATTATTACGTATTGGAGATAACTCATAATCCATTTATCAATCAGGGCGCCTAAAGGGATCCACCTGAAAATTGGCATAGAAGAACACGTGAGTGGTGCAAGCCGGAACCCGCCTTTAGTACCTGCGCGGATATTTTAAATAACCATTTCATACAGAAGGCCACGGCTTTTGTTCTTTATTTACACATTTCATTGATAGTCCAATCACTATGCGACCTATTTAATATAAACTAACGGTCGAACGTTCAAGTCCCGTTGAGCTTGGACCTATGAAGTTCCGGTTGCTTGAATTTATTATTATAGAATACTATTATAATAATATTAAACTACATGTTTAGGACGAATATAGTAATTTTGTATTGCCTCTGTTTCGTGTTAAAGTGCATTACCATACTTTCTTTAGGTCCCCACTGAGTGGCTCAGAGCCTACCCTAAGCTAGGGATGACTAGACACGATGGCCATGTGTGGGATGGTTGATTTCACATATCTTTGAATTTCTTCGCAGCCATGTACAGGGTGTATCACGATGTTTTCCTTCACCATAAAATGCATAAGTATTTAAATTATTATATTTCAAGTATAATAAATCTGATGTTATTTTGATACAAATCAAAACCTGTCTGTCAGTTGCGTATGAAACCGTAATCGATAGCGAGCATCAGTAATGCATCAGTAATGACGTTACACGAAGATGAGTCGTACTGATAACCGCTTTCTTTAATGCACGAACTCACGATTGAATTACACAAGTTAAATTATTCTTTACGCTTATCCTTTTAAATTAATCGTTCCATAATTCATTCCGAGCGCATGCTGAGCGAATTGCTGTATCAATAGCATTAAAAAAACATTTTTTAGCTTGTCACTAGAACAAGGAAACTAGTGTTTAGTCTCAGGTGGATAGTACTACTGAATCTACTTTAGATTTCTCAGGTTATAAAACCTAAGTATCATCTGAACAATTATTTCATTTTGCCCTAAACAGCAATCGAATTTATGACCCAAATAACTTTAGGTGCACAAACCGCTAGGCTGCGAGGTAGTTAATTTTATCCAAGTGTTCATTTGTTTTATAATTGTTTTTTTTGTTATAGGCATTCGGTCGTCGCGGACTGTTCGCGGGCAGGACTCGTCCCAGCTCGACGACTTCTGCACCTGCACAGGACACTGCCAACGCGCCCACTGAAGCATCAGCGCCTAGGTATGTTTGTACATTCATTCATAGTTCTATCTATAATATAAAAGGACAAAACATTTCTAATTTTAACAAATAGTAAACTCCAAAGTTTAGGGTCGGCAGTATTTACGTGAGGCAATTAATCGATTGCCGGTTTCAATAGAATTTTCCAGCACTCCAAATCAATGGGAAGTTTATTACACTATTAGAGTGTCAGTTATTAGCTATATCAATTAGGCAACTCATTCAACGGTCTATTAATATCAATATTAATAGGTTTAATCAAAGTATATAGTGGGCAGGCGGCAGGTCGATAAAACCCGCTTTGAAGTAATCAGAGCATGCCTTGGTTAAGTAACAAATGGTAGCGCACTCAATGAATACCCGTGTTATGTTTACTTAACTCTTGAATTGTTTTCAAAATAGATAAATATTGTTTGTGAACATAACATTTAAACCAGTATCAATATAAGTTGAAAGCAAAGAGATAAACCTTTTAAAATATTACTTATTCTAAGAGTATGATATGACAAACAATATAAAATTTAGTGAATGGTGAAAGCTAAAATATAATCTCCCGAATGTTTATTAATGTAGGAACTAACCAACTTAAATTTTGATAAGTAGTATTATACTTAGTCGTAGTGCAGGGAACCAAGATTTGTGTGCATATTTCCACAAACAGAGAAATTAAACCGAAAACAAAGCTTTATTTATGAAAGTTTCGCCGGACGCGGTTTATCGGAGTGCACCAAAACATTTTAACATTATTACTTTGTACGAATCCTTTGTTCGAAGGTACGTGAATTTAACAGTAACCACAATGACGCATTGTTGTCCTCTCGCCCACTGAACTTACAATGTCTACAAAGGAATTCTTTGAACTAATTCATTTCAAACTTTGCTTCATTTTAGTCTGTCGTCATGTACTTACTCATTTTATTTATCGAATCGATCGTAATTTTATCGAACCTTATTAAATCCAAGTAACCCAAAGTTGTCTCAAAGAAAATCAAAAGCTTGTGGAACAAACGTAAAAAAAGTATAGAAACTTGAACCAATGTGGATGAAAAATACAGCAGACGAGCAATATCTATTACTTGAGTCGGATACTGAGATAAATGAGGATAATTATAAATTTTATTTAACAGACCACGCCTACGTCCCGGTTTGCGCCGAGGATTGACAACAACCGCCGCTACCACTATCGCGCCATCATCAGCCGCGTCAGCCGCTTCGGGAGAGGAGACAACAGCACCCAGTGCTGGATCCGGAGAAGTTGCAGAAACAACGGCTGCACCTGTTAGGACTATTGGGTAAATACAAGATTAATATAGTACCATAAACACAAATATACACATTCTGATACTACTTTTACAAATACATACACACACATACATATCATAAACACTACCTTATTAAGTGAAGAGGCAGATTATGGATCGATAAACACTAATGATATTGATGATAAATATTTAGGACAAGCCACATTAATTACAAGAGTATCACATCATCATAATCACCATGTAGCCATTATCGACTCACTGCTAAATAGCTAGTTGTCTCTTTCATACCAATCGCATAGTTTACAATATTTCATTAATAAAAAGGACAGTAGAGATTTTATTATACAGCTGGAACAACTCCAACAAATTTATATCTAAAAATTTCTATTATATATTTCAGCCGCAGACCAGGTCAGATTAGACCAGTACCATCACTGCGACCTGGGCCTAGGTTGAACTTGCGACCGAACGCGCGAGCAAGGCCCGGCTTAGTCAGCGCAGCGCCAACGGAAACTTCAGAGACACCCGCAGCTGAAACCTCGGCCGCAGAAGCACCAGTTACTCCCGCCTCTGACTCCGATAGTGAGGTAAGCAAACCCTAGACGGGCAGTTATTTCTTAAAAAAGGTTTGTATACGATATCAAGCGAATAGGTGCACAGTATAAGCGTAGAACTCCATTGCCGTACCCTTGTATTCAGTCTCATCGTCATCCCTTAAATTCTCTTTAAAAAATTAAAACAATATGAGTATAACGGCAGTGGCAACCCATAGTAGCACATCCTAAATTACTTATTCTTCAAAATGAATCTAAATTAAATGATACAAACGACATAAGAGAAAATGAAAATTATATTAAAAATAGGTTTGACCCATATTATTATTTTTATTTAATGTTATTAAAGACAATATTATGTTATTCGTATGTTATGAAATACTAATAGTGTAGCAAAGCGTTATCGTACATATCTCTTATCAGGTCACGATTCGTTGGTAACACTATCAAATTATAACATTTAAAATTTTATCATCAAACTAATATGCTGTATTATCTTAATAGAATTGAAATTTTAGTTGCTATGATATAGTATACTTGCTATAGTTATTTTTATCGCTATAATAAAATATTTTGCAAATAGTGTGTTCAGAATCACGTCAATAAATGTTCAATGTTTTCCAGACGTTCATGCTCAAATTGAATAGTAGTCTTTTTTTTGTCTACCATTGACGTCAATATTAAATGTTAAACATGTTGTTCCGCAGAAAATATTTTTATTATTTTTTAAACAGTATTTTTTTTTCGTATTAATGCTACAAATTATGTTTTTAACACGTTGAATAGGTGTTATTTAATATAATCTACTATTGTGTAATGAAAAATCTGTTTTGAAAATTATTTATTATAATATTTAAAGTAAGCACAGGATAAAAAGGTATCATATTTAACTCCAGACACACAACCTGGAGCAGCAAGTAAAGGCACGCACATACCAAACACGATTCGTGACTGGAATTTCTTTTTACATTTAAAAAATATATATATCTGTAAATCACTAGAGACAAGCATAGTACTTGTCTCTTAACATTTTTTAATGCTTAATATTTTAATTGTTTTTTGTCATCAGGGATCACCTGCGACTCCAGTTCCTGAACAACCTCGTGGAGGTCTGAAGTTAAGAAACCGCCTACAAGTTTCGCCGTCACCCAAGCCACGTGTTGCCGTCACGCCACCAGCTCGGCGTGTCAACCCATTATTGAAGAGAAAGCAGCCGACCACAGAGGTAATGTACCAAATATAATGTAAACAACAAATAATAATTTTGAATGATAAGAAATATACGAATGTATTAATAGTGTTCCATTTACACATCAGATATTATTATTAACGTATTCATCTATTTATCATAATTTTAATATAGTACATTTCATATCCAAAAAAAAATATACAAAACATATAATATAATTTTAAAAATAGAACACCACCGGCTGCGGAATCCCATGACTCAAACAACCAGTGGTCAGGGCTGTATAGACAGGAACCTTCTCACGATCATATATAATACATGTAATCTTTTAGTATTTTTTATAATACGAGCAGTAAGCGTTATCTATGGAATATTTCTTATCTCTTTAAGACATTGAAGTGGTTCTGTTTGAATGATAGCATCTTTTTAAAGCCAATTTGACTTTGAACTTGACCGTAGAATTCCACTACCGTGACACTTGCAAATAAGTGATTTCTATAATGACGACCTTAACTCATCTATTTTAATTTAACAATACAATGATAAATATTTATTTTAGGCGACAACAGAGGCGATAAAGAAGTTATCAACGGAGACAACAGAAGAGAGTACGAGTGAGGAGAAAGATGAGACGGAAACCGAGGCACAGCCGGCGGAGACAACACCAGCGCCCCCACTGCGCGGTCTCGATGCTCTGATTGCCCGCCGCAGAGCCGCCGGCATCGGCCGAGTGGCCAGGCCCGCCAGAGGAACGCGCCAACAAAATTAAATTGTTCATAATGTGGATCTCTTGATACGTACGACACAGTCTTTATCGTATATTAAAGCAACAAATCAATTAATCCTAGGAAGTATACAGTTTCTATCTACATATTATTTCCTACTATAACACCACCAATTTGATGGATATTATTTTTACAGCAGTTCAATCAATAAACATATTTTAATATTATATACTTATAATGGTATTAAACCGTCGCTTGAAGATATAGTTATATACCCTGTGTCGTATGTTCAAGAAGTTTCTACACATTTTTTTTAAATGTTGGTTTAATGACATGCTTTTAAAGCACTGGTAAAGCAAACAATAACTGTATTTACAAAATCAAAAATTAATTACAACTATTTGTTTGATTAAAAAAAAACATGTGACTATTACGTTCTGATTTGTAAAAAAACATTAAAATTGTTTTTGCATTGTCAGTGCCAAAAAATAATATGTAGCAAAGACGTGTCATTTTACTTTAGTCAATTCACTCCCCCAAACTGTTTAGAGTTTAGTATAACTTTATAATATAATTTTCAATAATATCTCCAGTTATTGTAATGTACCAATATTTGTATGTAATTATTTAGGTTTATGTATTAGTTGTCTAACATTTACATATCTTATGTTTCCAAGATTCCATTATTGAATCACAATAGCCTTTTTTATGTAAGGATATTTCTTAGCGTTTATTTTATGAGTTATGTACATATTAGAATTAATGATTGTTATTGCACGCGTTAGGCCACGGGTGGCGATCAAATGGCGACACTTTATTTCCAAATGAATTGCCAATATCACAATTCCATTTGTCTCAAAGTGGTCTTGTACGCCAAAGCAATCAAATTATTACGATTACATTACCTATAAAATGTATGTATGTATAAGTGCAACCAACGATATACCCATTATGTATAAGCTATACATTATATAATACATATATCTAATTTTATGTTATTAGAATATTTACTGTTTTATAAAACAGAACAGCTTCAATTTAATCTTCAATATTTTTAAATTTTGATATCAATCAATTTTATTTTTTTAATTTGAAAACTTACATTTCTTACAATGGAACAAAGATTTTTAGATCAATTTAGAATTATAGGTCACGTTAGTTTACAATTTTGGAATTAAATGAAAAAAAATATATCAAAATTTATCCTAATTTATTACAGTTAAGTCATGAACCTTTCTTAGGGTTTAAGCTAAGAAATCAATTATCAATAGTTACGAAATTTTATCATCAATTTATTATTTTGTATCCTGAAGCACTGATAGTTAGTGCCATCGTGATATATTTTGTATCTTTCGTAAGTGTGATAATAAATTTAATATTAAGAAAATAACGTACACAATTCATTGGTTTTATTTCGTGTCATGAGAGCGTCGGTGGTTCAGGGGTTTAAGCAATTGACTTGCAATCTGCAGGTCCTGGGTTCGAATCCCGCCATGTAACAATGTGTTTATTTTCGATTTACATACACAGTACATTTATCCGATGTTCTTACGGTGCAGGAAAACATCGTGATGCAACCTTCATATATCTGAGAAGAAAATCAAAGATATATGTAAAGTCAACAAACCCACACTTGGCCAGCGTGGTTGACTATGGTCTAGTCACCCCTAATGTAGGGTAGGCTCCGAGCCCATCAGTGGGGACGTATAGTAAGGTGATGATGAATTTCATATACCTTTCATTTGTAAGACATGAGTTAAATTCCCTACAAAACGCTAAAGATTGATACAAAAACAACAACTTTTACTTGATTCGTTTAGCAATACATTTAATTAATGAATTGAGGTCAAGCGAAACAGAGAATAGTATCGACGTTAACAGTAGAACGCCTTGAACTATGTTTATGACAAAACGTTTCATAAGATTTAAATATGAATCTATGTTGGTGTTATAAAAACATTTTAAACCGTAATTAAAGACGCAATACTTACTGTTATTCCAATTTACATTTAACAATTACTTTAACGCCACATTTTGTCTTAACTTAGATTAAAACAAAACAATACTTAGATTGTTTTAATAGAATTGCAATACTGTTGACAGGACAAGCAAGAATGATGCCCTCTTACAAATAATGTCGATTACATGTCAGTATACGTCATTGTAAACAACTTGTTATCTTATTCGAGCGCCGGCCGTAGCTACTGGTTATTACCAGCTTTTTACCTCAAATATTTCGTCATGCTACCGCAAATTGGAGTCTACAAATCAGTTTGGACAAGTGTATATTACAAATCATTTATGTAATTTGTTACCTACACAAAAAAGAGCTTTATCCTAACGCGTACTCGTGTTCAAAAATAATTAAAACTACCAAACAACATATTATTGTAGCATGTTTCAGACATCTGACCTCAGTTGTATTGATATAACGATGTTTTATCTATTTTAGGAAATTGTATTTTAAGAAAGCATTTCCACTTTTAAATACAAGATAATTGCCTAATTTCTCGACATATTAATGGTTAGCATGAAGTTTTTAATAAGCAAATATTCGGAGAATCGCTATTGCTGGCATGACAAATATACTTTGCGAAAAACAGGTATTTATTAAAGACGAAGTAAACAAGTGAAGCGAAGTAAGCATTTTAATATAAAATATAATATTAATAGAAATTGAAAAACATCGTTCTAATGTCGATTGTTGACTAGATATAGTGTCGTCAGACATACACTTTTAAGGTAACACACAATTTTTTGTCCAATTTATGAAAGTTTTCTCGTTTTAATATGTTTTACTGTCTGCAAAATACGATAGTCAATATTATAATTCATACAACGTTCAAATCAACCAGCTAACCGTGCGATTCCAACACCAAACTTCTCTTTTAAAACATATTGTTGTCCCTTTTTTGGCAACGATAATGACAGGGATGACAATATGTTTTATGCAGAGTTTTTTTTTGTCAGAAAACAATGGTAAGTGACCTATTTCTAATAAGTTGACATAAAGACAAAAACATTAACGTAAAAAACGTTCGATTTTTATGGCTACTTATCAGTAGTAAAGGTTAGTATGACCAAATAATAATAAATAGTTTCAACAAAAAACTTTAATATAATTTCTGGATAAACCTAAAATATTTATTTATCTCTATTTTTTATTTACTAAAACTGTACTTCCTCTGTTTTGTTATCTACTGCGCATATTTAAATTCTTTATCCCAGAACATATTTAGCAAAAGTATGGCAAACCTAAAAATTTAAAAGCTCTACAATTATATTTCATGGTCACTGCAATATACTGCATTTATCCTACACAATATGGTTACCCTACTTAATGTAGATGTGTGCGATTGTGATAACTTGCGCACTAACCAACCAAACCGCTCCATACAATTAGTCCATCGCCGACCGTCGCCCGAAGACCAGCGAGCCAACAACCGGCTTTTCCAAGTAATCGAATCGAGTATCCGACGCTCTCTTGTCATCAAATTGAAGTTTTATCAAAATTGTAAGTTATTAAATTATCTATTTTATTACTCTACCGAATTGTATTTTGCTCTGATATTGTAGATTTTATTTATAAGCACAAATAGCGTGTAACTTTATTCCGTTGAGAGGTTATTTGCGTTTTACTTTGAACTTTATAGAATCAATATAATGATGCAAAGCTGTGCGTGCCATCTTTGATCAGATATATCTCTGAATATGTCCGTCATTATTGTCATCTGCTAGCTGTTATTGTTTACTATTAAACTATTAATAATATCCTGCTTCGCGTATACAATATTAGTTTATTGAGTTACGTTATATACGATAGAATAAATATATCAAGATTCAGTAAGTAATATGATAACGTAGTGATACATATGTTGCTTATCAGCATATAATTTTGTTATTATAAAACCGTTTTATGAATGCGCATATTATGTGTTATTATTATTAAAACAATTGTTGCATTATTATTTACTACCATTCAGGCTGAAATGGCGCTGAATATAGGATCAGTTTTGATACTGGACGGCGTGGGCCAAAATTGCGAGGAAATTTTGGCGCAAAATGGCATTTATTCCACCAATATGGTGAAAATTACTGAAGAAGAACTCCTGAGGACAGTATCTGTAAGTGTTTTTCTCTCTAAGTATATTTTACAAGTCATAATGGCGTATTATTCAGTTTTTTATATTGATAATTCGGTGCAGGTTGAATTTTTAGTTGAATGCAAGAATAACTTGACTAGCACCGATTTTGCATAGGTTTAGTATTTCATGTTATTTCTAGGTGTACGATGCCTTAGTGGTGCGTTCCGCTACTCAAGTGACAAAAGAGGTCCTGGATGCCGGCAAAGAATTAAAGGTGGTAGCTCGCGCCGGCGCCGGCGTAGATAATATTGACGTGGCGGCCGCCGCCGACAAAGGAATCTGCGTTATCAAGTAGGTTTTATTACGGAAATATTTTTGATTTCATTTTAACACAAAGTGGATGTTGCGCGTTGTGGATTTATACCGCTGAAACATTCTGTAAAATATAAAGTCTTTGAACGTTGATAAATATTTACAGATATTTTATTTATTTCTTTAAACTTGTATTTAGAAAGTAATTAGGTTAAATTAATTAATAGGATTCCAGCAAATCATTAGATTATTGACTTAAATTACGTATTTACGAATGAATCTATAATTTTCAAATTAGGTTACATACAATGTTAATTAACACTTATTATATATCTAATTGATATTGAAATTGATTCTCCAAACAGCATTGTTTACGAGATTTTGATTAAATTATGTAAATATTTTTACTAGTACATTGTTAAAATGTAGAGAACCTATATATTAAAATGTAATCGACTTTTGTAATTAAAAAAAAACCTCTACTTAAATATTAAAACCTTCGTATATTCGCCCAGGCATAATATCGATTATTTTTAAATAGAAGCCGCGGTAGTATAAAACGGATCAAAAGATATTATATGTTAATTTACCTGACAGTAACGATTATAAATTTCTATAGCGCACAGCTGTATAGGGTGTGTTTTTTCCTACGTAACATTGTACGTACACATAAACGTTACGTCGTAGACACCCTATACCAATTAATTAACCGTCGATTGTTTCCCACTGCGCAGTGCTCTTGTAAAACAAATACCTATGACACGTCCGCTCTTTGAAAGGTCAATCAATTTAATTTACGATTAATCTGTAGTTTAACGTTGTTTAACTTAAGTTATTTATTTGTGTAATTTTACTTATGTTATCTTACTTCTTATTAATATTATAAATGGTGAAGTTTATATGGATGGATGTTTGTTAGAAGTTTGTATGTTTTTTTAATTCCACGAGGACGTAGTTGCGGGAAAATGCTATAATCTTATAAATGCTAAAGTTTCTACGGATACATATACGGAAGTTTGTTACTACGCAACTTAACAATGGCTTATGGGATTTTAATAAAATTTGAAAGAGAGATAAATTAGTCACGGGTAGTATTATATATAGGCTACTTTTTCTTAAATTACCATTTTCTTTTGAATGTGTGGTCATGAAGACAACATGCACGCTCAAAACTATGGCATGGGTTATTAGTTTAGTTTTTATAAGTCACGCAGATATAGTCTAGAGTTAGTTTATTACGTAAAACTTACTCATGCTGTTTTCAAAATCGATTAAAAACGGTTTCTTTGTATTTTCAGTGCGCCAGGTGCCAATGCTGTGAGTGCTTGTGAGTTGACATGTGGTCTGATAATGTCTATTACAAGACGCATCGTGCCAGCGGTAACCGCGTTGCGCGAGGGTCGCTGGGAGCGATCCCTCTGCACCGGAACTGAAGTCAACGACAGGACTCTTGCTATCATTGGTCTCGGCAGGGTCGGTAGGGAAGTTGGGATGCGCATGCACGCTTTTGGAATGAAGGTAAGTTGTTACAGTAGTATTGATTCAGGCTTTTCGCGGTTCATGGTTAGCACAGGTCTGTGCAAGAATACATCGACATGATTTCAACAGTATAATATTTTATAGATTATTGATTGATTTACATTGTTCTTCTTTGGCAACATTTCTCTGGTAATTTTTACTCAACTGACTGCAGAATGGGTCTTTTTTGCGATTATGTATGTGGGTTTGTAGATATGTAGATTCTATTGTGACCTACTATATCAACTAAACTGATTTTAACGTGTGAAAGGTGTTATTCGATCAGCATTATTCCTTGAAGTGTCATAGGGTACAGTCAGTTGGCTTCTTTTAGTGTTTATATTTACAAATTTGCTATTGTCCGCGAGAAGTTAAAAAAAAATCTTTAAAATAGCCTATGTGTTCTTCTAGACTATGTTCTACGTCTGTGCGAAATTTCATCAAGATCCGTTAAGTCGTTGCGGAGATACCTTGTAACAAACATCCATTAATCCATCTAAACATTCGCATTTATAATATTAGTAAGATAGTGCTTTTTTTCGATTTGTTTTTTGTTGTTTAACATTTTTTTTTATTTATCAGATAATCGGGTACGATCCGTTTGTAAGCATGCAGCAATGCGAGTCATTCCATTGCACCAAGATGGAGCTCGATGAAATCTGGCCGCTGGCTGATTACATCACACTGCATACTCCGCTTATTGAATCCACGCGCAGTAAGTATCATATTAATATCATAACTTTTATAACAATCGTCCTTATCAAAGCAAATTTATATGCATACTAATAGTTAGGTGCGGATTGTAAATTATAAAATCGTGGATTCAAATTACATTCAATAATGTCGTGTATTTAGTTTGACCTAATTATTACTAATAAGTTACAAAAAAGTTGAGTTTAGCTGAGCAAATGAAGGTGTTGGTTCAATAAAAAGAGAAAAGACATTCCGTATAACTTAAATTCTGGAAAACTTCATCGGTTACGATGTTCACTTTTATTTATTAATGCATAAATTATCTTTGTATTGTTGGGTAATTGAACTGTACACAAAACATTTTCAATTATCACAATGATAAGAATGTGTTGCTACTCGGTATTGATAAGTCAATATACTTATCATTAAGATGTTAAGCAAAATATCGGAATAATACTAAAAACAAATTCGATGTTATCGGTCGTTCAATTTTTGTACAGATTCATTTAAAAAATTAGTCATACGTTTTCAGTAAACAAGTTCTATTAATTTTCTTACATTTCACATAATTATAGTAACTTTACTTAGTACCTTGTACCATATAAAAAATTTTGTTGGCAAAATTACAGGATGTTCCAAATATCTTAAAATATGTTTTTCTAAATTTTTCTACATTTAGTTCTTTCTCGTCCGTAACTTTGTAAATGTACGCTTTATATTTATTTATTATCGGCTATATTTTTAAATACGTACTTAATGTATTCCATGCCAATACGTATGGTTATACAACCAACTGTTATCTTTTACAGACTTCATCAATGCTGATGTTTTCAAACGTTGCAAGAAAGGCGTTAAGATAATAAATGTAGCCCGCGGCGGGCTTATCAACGAGCAAGACCTTTTGGATGCACTCAACTCTGGACAGGTACTTTATGTTTGATTCTTATGTTCGTTTATGCTACTTTTAGACCGTAAAGAATCAATTGGCGCGAATGACGTGCTTTTGTTACAAAGTCCAGTGTCAGAATGAATAGTGCGGGGATATAAACGTCGACATTTTAGTAAGGCTAGTGTTGCTTCCATACACTAGCACATTTTTGGATTTCCTTCCTAACACTTCTTACTTGCTATTATACAAAATCTTTAAATAATTGATGATTTTGTTGAGTAAATACTGAAGTATTATTGAAGTAGATTCGTCATTAAATATGTAATTTTTGTGTTGTAGGTCAGTGGTGCGGCGATAGATGTATTTGAACAGGAGCCTCCGACTGATCCTCTGACGTGGGAGATCATCAGGCATCCGGCTGTTTTAGCCACACCGCATCTCGGTAAGCTACAGCAATAGTCAGTTTTTTTTAAACCTTGGAACCTACAATTTAACAGAACAATTTACTTAACTCATTAACGCAAAAACAATTGAAGAAACTTTGATCTAGTTACTTTTATGTCAAAATAGCTTATGTTTTACGAGTTAACTTAATTACTTAATGTAATAATCAGTTCATCATTAATAAATCCTTAATCAGTCACTTATTCAACTGAGAAATTACAGTAATCGTGGAATTCCATTGCTTACTTTTGTACTTGTGTTTGCGACAGTGGAAACTCACCGTAATGGCAACTTAATACGTGATTATTTTCACAGGTGCATCAACCAAAGAAGCCCAATCTCGCGTGGGACAAGAGATAGCGGAACAGCTGGTGAATCTGGCTAAACCAGGCACCTACTCAACACCCTTGGCTGAAGTGACCAACATCTTCAAGAAGTAAACGCATTCGCGGCAACTTCGAATTCATTTTCATTTCCTAAATATTTTTACTATCTTATATAATGTTAACTATAAGCTTCTAGTTTTATATTCTTTGCGTATTTTATAATATTTTTTTAAATGATGTAATCGAGAGGATTTATTTAAACAAATAAAGTCCCGCTTCTGAATATGTTGTTTATATTACATTTTTTGTTATTTTAATAAGATAAATCTTTCTATTTCATACAACAAAATCAGTTTTAATCAAATAGAACCAAATTAAAAAAAAAGACAATCGGTTCGGAATCGGTTGTTAGTCGTAGATTTTGTTCAGTTCTGACAGCATAGTGGAGTAAGTTCCCGGCTTCACTAAGTTAACGATTTGTTCAGATATTTCCTTCGCCGCATGCACAGGGACGTCCGTCGTAGATGTAGCTGTGGGACATTGTTACCATTATTGTCAAGATACACGGATAACTTCAAGCAGCAACATTTTTACAGCTGTGCCGGAGTATACGCCTATTGAAACTACCATTGGTAATGCACAAGCAACTTCTTCAAGTTGCCCGTGTACTACGTAGCTTTAATTTCATAAACAACATTAAATATCAATAATATTTAATCTCATCATTAATCAAATATGTAAGAAAACGGACTATTTACGAAACGGTATTTTAATAGTTGGCATTGAAATGGGGAAACCCGAGGGCAATAAATGTATAAGTCGAAATGTTAAAATTATTAATAGTAAAAAAATTGTAGTAAAGTCGTAGAACACTCTAATCACATGTTTTAGACCAGAAACTTTAACTTTAAATACTTCGAAAGGTTTGCTAAAATTTCAACAAGATCTGAATTAATTCTTGCAGATCTAATATAATATTTTTCTGTAGTAAATAACACTATTTTCTCACCAATATGGGGTGTTGCTATCACGGATGGATGTTCAATAAGTGACAAAGTCACCGGATCCTTCTGACACCCCTCAAACACATCGATCGCTGCTCCGCCGACCTATCATGTTACAAAATAATCATATTTATTACTACAATAATTCAGGCAATATCAATAAGTATATAATAATTAGTAAAAGGATGCCATTGAGATATTTGTCTGGAACATTTTTTTAAAGAATTGAGTTGGAACACTCCTTTTACATGCTTCATCATCCCATTCTCTTTATCCTGCTCGCTGGAGACCACGGACTTAATTTTCGTCTTGGATCGAGTAACTGTGGACTTAAATTCTTTTTTTTTACAAATGATACCTGTCCAGAGTTAAGAGCATCCAAGAGGTCCCTCTCGTTTATAAGACCACCACGTCCCACGTTTATAATCTTCACGCCTGTTTTGCAGCGGCCGAGAACGTCCGCATTTATGAAATCTACAAAAAAATTATAGTTCTGAATAATAACTTACATTCATTTGTGATACTGTAACAATTGTTGTAAGGTAAGTACTACTCTCTTGTATACTATGTCTAACCATTGTTGGAATGCAGGTTGCTCTTCGGGGGTCATTTTTGATATGAAATACTGTTCACATTGTTCCTGAGTTGCGAACGGATCGAAACCAATCATCTGGAATAATAATTTGAACAATTGAAATCATACAAATAATTGTTTTCTAACCTAAATCACGGTAGACATAAATGTAATTAAAACTAATAAAAAATCACATATTAAGTTGCTGAACGTACCGAATAGAGTACGTAATCCCCTAGTAACACAATGTAATCAGCAATAGGCCAGATTTCATTGATATCCTTTATCATAGTGCAGGAGCCGTTGTTGTGTGTCACTGATAGCAGTGGGTCAAATCCCACTACCTATTGAACAAGACATTTTAAAATTCAACGCTTGCAAATGAGTACATAAAGTCAATAAAATGTCATTACTTGGTTAATAATAGCCTAATCGTTTGCAGTTCCTCTGGTGTTGCGAATGTCCATAGTCGGATTACTAAACATTAGTGATTCGCTGATCGCACCAAACAGCTATGGTGCGATCAGCGAATAATTATGAATAGTTTCATATGTAAGTCTGTTACCTTCATACCGAAACCGCTCATCCGACTAGCGACTCCCTTACCGACTCTGCCACAGCCGATAATAGCAACGGTACGGTCTTTAAGTTCATTGCCTTTGAATGATCCATTACTCCAAAGACCTTTAGAAAAAGCGGTCCTGGCAGGTCGCATGTGTTTCGCCACCGCCAATAACAATCCACAAATTAACTCACAAGCACTAATAACAGTTGAGTTCGGAGCACTGAAATAATAGTCAACGACATTTATTTCTCTTTCAACGAAAATAAGGTATAGTAAGTTATACTTACTTAATGACACTAATACCCCTGTTACTGGCTGCCTCCATGTCAATTTGGCCACAACCAGGGCTCGCAAGTGCAACAATCTTTAAACGAAACGCAGCTGCAAGAATTTCTTTAGTAATTAGAGTGTCTGGCCGCACCACTATTGCGTCATAAGCCTGGAATTTTCAGATATCTTTTTCAATTATGGTAATATAGTACTACAGGTAATACAGTACAAACTGATACTCTCCACATAAAATAATATAAAATGGCCATATAGAAAGGAACGCTTACATATAAATCATTTAACAAGTATTCCCTTATGATGTTCGGCCTACAAATGGTTTGAATGCCGAGCAAATTCAGAATATTAGTACAGCTCTCGCCTATGCCATCCAGCACTAAAGCCCATTTGATATCCACCACCATTTTGAACCTGAAAAACGAATTTAAAACACATGATCATTTAACAATGGTGTTTGTTTTATGAATAAAAAATATACAAATACTTGATTGTATGTTTTGATTGATGATCTTCATAAGAACTAAAAAGTGAAACTAAAAAGATAAAAATAAAAAGTAAAACGAAACTTATAAAGAAAATTTCCAGCAACAAAACAACACCGACTTATTTAACTTCTTATTCCGAACTAATAATTACCTTGTCGGTCAGTAGGTAACATGCAAAACGTCCCACGGGTTCCATATTGAACAGATAAAATTATTTACAACGTTGCAAATTTCGCTACGTATGTACGTGGTACCTTAAGTTTCAAGTAACGTAGTTCCTTTAATTAAAGGTGTCCAATGACCGTAGGAAAGTAATAAAGTCATGAATCGCACCAATCCGAAATGTATGATTATATATGAGACTGTAATATCTTACTGTTACTTACTTACGAATGTTTAGATGGATAGATTGATGGATGTTTGTTTGAAGGTATCTCCAGAACGTCTGAACGTATCTCGCTGAAATTTGGCATAGATGTAGAACATAGTCTGGAAGAACACATAGGCTACTTATTATTTTTTTTTAGTCCCGCGCGGATGGAGTCTCTCTCGACCTAGTTATGAATATAAATATCAGTTTTGTATAAGGATTAAAGGTAATAAATCAGTGATCACATCATTTTCTTATTATTTTAGGCCCTCACAAGTCATGCTTTCTAATTTAATGTTTCAGTATGGGCAAGTAATATTTCTTACTAGTTAAAATCTATTGCGCATATCCATGGGCTTCGATGATAGCCTCAGTACGCTCGCCATATGTTAGCCCCCTAATTTTATAATAAACAACTTCCAAAAACTAGACGAACACATTGTTTGGAAACAGCGTGATCGTATAATTTTTACACTTATTTAAAACAATGCAATTCGATGTCTGTTCGCAAACGTTTATGCTTTCTCTTCATTTGCAAGGTCACTTCGCGTCATCTCAGATTCGATCCGCCATCTCCATATTAAAAGGCAGACGACGTCGCAACTTCACTGCCATGAATTGCAACTTGAGTAAAAATAACTAAACAGGCCTTCATGGTTATGTTGCAACATTTTTCTTAAAATAAAAACGATCCATGCTATTTTTATTAATAATCGATTTCCTGGTACGGTTACTTACTATAGACCGTCTCCAATATCATCAAAATATCCTACCAAAATTTAAACATAACCTGTACAATGATAAGAAGAAAAAAATAACTTTCTCGTGATACAATGTTAGTTATCATATTCTTCCGAATTGGCTTGACCTATTTTTATGAAATTTTGTATGAATATTCAGTAGGTTTGAGAATCAGTTACTATCTACTTTTTAATCCCGCGCAGACGGAATCGCGGGCGACAACTAGATTGAATGACACAAGATTACTTGGACTCTATGTGAATTAAATTTACAGGAAGACGTTAACACCCGGATATTTCTACGTAAGACTCAATGTCTGCCTTTCATCGCATACTTAATTAAGGCTAGCAACTAACATCTATACATGCATCTTACAAGCATCTAATTAATCTTAGATGTCTTAGCTCCATAATCCATGTTAATATTAACTTGTTTCCGGATTTAAGTTACACACATGTTTAAATATTTTTTTACTATTAAGAGGCTACTTACTGATGATATTTTTTTAAATATAATGAATGTTTATTGAATAATTAACGTTAATTCCTATCTTATCTTATTTGGGCATATAATGCATAGGTAAAAAGTAAGTTAAACTGCTTTTGAAAGTGGTATTTTATTGTAAGTTTAATTTAGAATGAAATAATAGTAAATACGATAATGTATGCGCTTGTGTTATTAGAGCAATGAATGAATTCTTACTGTACGTTATATAATTAATAAAAAGTAACATTTCATGTTAGACAATAGACACTTAATATGATAATCATGAAACTTTATGCTACTTATGTAGATATATGTTATGTGTTATGGAGTGAACTTGTTTTAATATTTCAAAGTTATTTGCATGCCAGTAATAATGTGGTTTTAATTAAATCAGGAGTACTTCTTGTTAATTTGATATTCTCGTATTATTTACTGAATTATTTAACCGTTGGACATTTATGTACCTAGTTATACAACCTTGGTATTTCCAACTCTTCTTAAGTAGAATCATCAAAATAAAAATGAATTAATCAAAGGTTTGATCCCCGTTAAATGTCGATAAATGGACTTTATAATTTCAGATATAGCTATCGCTCTTAGTATGATTAATTATTTTTTAACATTTTATTACTTGAATTACAAATTGCAAGGAAATGTATGGAAACAAGATGTAAAATACAGCAAAGATATTATTAAAAAGAGTTCCCATGAAGCAACGGGCAACAGTCAGGACCTAACTAGTAATCAAACAGTAAACAGAAAGTACTAAAATTTTGATCATATCTATCTAAAGCCTCACGCTTGGAAAAAAACGACGAACATCGAATACCAAACAAACATGAATGTTTGGATAGGAGTTTTTGTTTGGTGTTCATTGTTTGTACTAGGGATTGGCGTGTGTGTCCATTTTTCTATACAAATCAAATATGTATGTACATTAGATAAATCGAACATTCAAGAATTAGTCTTATCACCAGAAGATTTAAATTGTGATGTCTATTCGTAAGAAGTAACAATAAGTTATTTGAAATCAAGAAGTGGCATTTGGTTCCGAGTTTAGTTTCACTTGTTTCTAAGTAGAGATAACAGTTAAGGAAACATAGTGTATACGTAATCATATACTGAATTATATATGTAGGTATATGACAAAACAGGCTACGCCGGTTCATTGCGCTGTACTGAAAAGCGTTTATCGTATTAACAAGTATTCCGCAAGGTCCTCGCGTGCTCTTGTTGCTCCCCGAATGGACCTTGACATCTTATTCGAAACGTATCATTATCAAAACACCTTTCATATTCAAGAATAGGCAAGATATGATAAAAATCAGTTCCTATTTAGTTTTTTTTATCTCATCTTAAGTATAACATTTAGAACTTACAATTATTTGTTTAAATTATCAAAAAATAATTTGCGTTTTGCGTTCATAAATGCCAATGTTTAGCTGTACGGATCGATGGTTTGTTGTTGAATGTTAGCAGGTATCTTCAGAACGGTTAAACCAATCTCGCTAAAATTTGGAATAGATGTGTAACATTGTCCGGAAGAACACAAAGGCTTCTAAATAAGTTTTAGTATCGCGCAGATAAAGTCGCGGACGACAGGTACATATATATGTATAAATCAATATAATGTTTTATAATACTTCCGTAGATGAGTCAATATGTCAGGAAATAATTAAGTAGTATATGAACTTGGTAAAGCATATTACCTACGCCACACCCCTCGAGGTGACCCACGTTCTTACAAAGTGAACGTTGTAACGTCATCAGTGAACGTTTCAAGAATGTACTTGAGTTGTACAGAGGTCTGCGACTCTGCCAGCCTTAGTTAATACTAGCTGTCGCCCGCGACTCCGTCAGCCTGTACAAAAAACTAATCAGTAGCCCATGTGTTTTATGCGTATGCCACATTCTAGCATACATGCCACATTTCAGCGACATCCATGCAGCCTTTCTGAAGATACCTTCTAACGAAGTTCCATCTATCTAGACATTCGTATTTATAATAATTAGTAAGATATTGACATTTTATTGAAAGCAATTTTTCATTTGATTAGTTTATTTAATATTACATATCGATTCGTACATGTAATAAGGATCTAATTATGACAGATTCATCGTTAGGTTTGGGATGAGGTCTTTATCCACCCATTTTGTATATGAGACCCACTGGATATACTTTGTATATGTTAGGCTTCAACTTTTTTGTGTCGAATATTCATATAGCCAAGGAATAAACCAAAAAACGTATTAAATATTTCTACATTTATTTAAAAAATACTTATGACATAATTTACAATATAGTAAACATAAAATCAATTCTAATCGGCCTTGACGAATTATGAACAAAATTCAAGTTACTAGGATCGCATGACTGGGGAATGGTACAGGATGGGGATGGGGAGACAAGATTTGAAGATATTAATAGTAGGGTAGCTTATATTAAATGTTTAATTAATTCCCCCTTCCCCTAGAGAACGTCCTGCCAGTTCTCGCGGGAGGGGCGGCGTCATTCTGTTCCTCTGGTTCTGCTTCTTGGAATGATCTTGATGACGCTGCGGAGTTATATTTATATTAAATTACACTCTTATTTTAATGACAACATAATCAAAATTTTATGAAGTTTATTAGAAAACGGCTAAATCATTCGTTCAGTGAAATGCCGCATCTGATATAAAAATCAATCAATTTTCATAGGCAATCTTGAATAAAACAAATTCTCCAAATTTATTAACATCATTATCACCGGGGAAATGTTATTTTTCTGGCAAATGAGATCGTATTACATTTGCCAAAGGCATGTACAATATGCAATTTGTGAGCTCTCAGAAATCAAATTAAACATTCTTGGAATCAATTGTCCATTTTAATATCTTATCAAGTCTAGACTTACGTCGTCCAAAACGACCTCTGCTGGGCTTAGGTGGCGCGGGCGGCGCGGGTGGCGCGTCTTCAACATTTGTTTCCCGTGTAGCTGTGTTAAAGCGTTTCTTACCTAAAACATAAGACACTAGAGTTTATATTTGAATACACACAAGCTTTTTTTACTTATATATCTTTCAGAGAATAAGCTAGAGCGGTCATTGCGTAATATCTTATGAATTACAAAGCTTGTATGCTTTATGTACACAGTTTTTAAGACGAGGGTCTAATTTGATAACTGCTAGAGCCATTAAAGCATACATCGCTATGTGGTTCAATAAACTACGGATATAAACGTTTGTAAGAAGAAAGATAGAGAGAAAGGCAGAATGCGTTGTTAAATAATAGTCCTATTTGTCACGAATTGCGTAAATAATATAATTTATCAGTTGAACACTTCATACGATAAGAGGTCATGTTCTGTTGTTGGATCGTAATTATGTTTGCGGTTTGTACAGGCAAAGCTCAAGGTTGAATAGGTTTCAAATAAAATCACTTTATACAATCGCAACAGTGATTACGACAATGGCGTAATATACCATGAATGTGTATACCGTTTTTGGATAACCATTTATTCTTACTCTTTAATATCGCAGTACATCACTCTCATCTGTACCAAACGTCATCTCACAGGAATGCCCTCACATTTCAACTTTCTCACAATACAACCATAATCAAACTATTTTCATTTCTCTAAATTTAGCTTTTGCCTACAGTTCTCTTGTTAAGTTATTCAATCTACATCTTTTATTAACAATCATAACTTACTGTAACTAGATTTGGATGCAGCATCTACACCATCTACAC